CAACTCCACAGGGGAGTCTTGGCTCCAGGCAAGACATCGGGCGGGTTTGGCACCATCCGCCACTGCTGGACTCTGCAGCGGGAGGCGCCGTGCGCTTGTGAAGTGGCCCGTGTTCACGAGCCGCTTCGAAGTACGTGAACACAAGCACGGGCCCCTGAAAGAGCTCGTGCCGAAACGGCTTGAGCCAAAATGGCTACGGGGGGGAGGGGAGGGAGGGAGGGAGGGAGGGAGGAGAGGAGAGGAGGAGGAGAAGGAGGAGCACGTGGGAGGAGGATGGCAGCGAGGAGAAGGACTGAGGAGGATGGGGGAGCAGCAGCACCAGGGAAGTGGGAGGGGCAGGCCGACGACAACGAAGACAAGGAGGGAGGAGGAGAAGGAAGTCGTGAGTCCCCCCAGGGGAGAAGTGAGTCCTCCTCCTCCTCCTCCTCCTCCTTCTGCTCCTCCTCATCCTCCTCCTCCTCCTCCTCCTCCTCCAGCTCCTCCTCCTCCTCCTCCTCCTCCTCCTCCTGCTCCTCCTCCTCCTCCTCCTCCTGCTCCTCCTCCTCCTCCTCCTGCTCCTCCTCCTCCTCCTCCTCCTCCTCCTCCTCCTCCTCACCCTCCTCGAGAAGCCGCTGGAATCCGTCCGGGAGCGTTGGAGGTCCTGCTCCTGCTGCTGATGCCCCTCCTCCTCCAGACTCTGCCAAAGGCCGCCCGAAACCAAAAGATCTCCGCCTCCCCGCCGGCGCCCGCCTCCCCCGTGGCCCTGGCCGCGCAGGGGCCCGCCCCCGGCCGGAGCTTCTGCCGCCCTGCTCTTCGCGCTCGGCACGGCCCCTTCCCCACAAGAAGGGAAGCGCAGACGTGAGCATATCTGAGGACGAGGCGGAGGAGGAGGAGGAGGAGGAGCAGGAGGAGGAGGAGGAGGAGGAGGAGGAGGAGGAGTAGGAGGGCGAGGAGGACGCGGACCCCCTCCCCCTCTGACTTCTGGTGGCGGTGGTGGACAACGGGCCCAGCTCTTCCTCCTGGATCTGCACATGGCACTGTTCGCTCATGAACTGTCGGAGGTCCGCGCGGACCTCCGAAAAATCGCACATCTCCGTCCCAGACCGAAAAAAACATGGCGGGAATTGTTTTACAATGTTCGGTCTCCGGGGGCCCTTGCCGGGCCTCGGGACCGTCAAAAACACCTTGGGATGAAAAGCCGGTCCCAGGGAAGGGGTCCAGACCTCTGGGGGTCGACGTTGTAAAAAAATCACGACGTCGTGGGTCTGGGGTACACGTCGGGCGAAATAAGTAGGACAAAAAACAGCCCAAAACCCACCGCTCCATTTTTGGGGAACATTGGATCTCCGGGTACTTCCAACGACCGGCGTGTCAATTCGCTTCTCCTCCCCATGCCCCTCCCTTGCCCCCCTGGGCGCGACGATCCCCTCCCGCGACGAGCGCCCCCCGCCCTCGAGAATTCCCCTTTCCGGCCGCGCGTGATTTCTCAAAGAGACGAGCCTAGCAATCCCCCTTGCTCCCTCCAGCGCCCACCCCCGGCACGTGCACAAGGCCTGGCCGAGGGCGAGGTTGGTGACACTGAAGAGCCTGTGTTCCCATGCAGATTTTTATAATGCTGCTTGCGATGAATTCAGACAGCGACTGTCCCAGTCTTTTCTATCAGACCATGTCGGCAAGATTATGTCGACCGCGGATGATTTCAACGAGAGCTGGAAGTGTAGAGGCACTAGGCCGAATGCCCGTCCAATGTGGCTTAAGTTGAAGTTCAACCCTGAGCTGGGGAGCACGGTGCCCAGAACCCTGAAGAGGTTCTTGGAGCACCCAAGGTTCCGACAAATTGCGATGCAGGCGATGCGGTTTGTGCCTGACATCCGAATTACTCATTACAGGGGGCTCCCGAACGTAAGCGAGCGTCTCAGGGCTCTGGGTAGTGCTTCTAGCTGACAGGAGGCGTTAGGGGTAGGTAGGTGGGATTGTCATTGTTGTCATAGTGCAGTTGAAACGTAGGGCGTGCAGAGCAAATTCACACAAATCGTCGTAACAATTGTGTGGTGTTGTCTGCCCGTAGCTTTCGGCTCTCAGTTTGGAGGGGGCTCAACAACCAGTCCACCATCCCAAGAGGTGGGGGAGCCAGTGCAAGAGCGACTAGCACATTGCAGATAGACCGCGAGGCCAAAAAGAGAGGGCGCGACGATCCCCTCCCGTAACGAGCGCCCCCCGCCCTCGAGAATTCCCCTTTCCGGCCGCGCGTGATTTCTCAAATCCGCCGGCGCCCCTTGTGGGGCCACAAGTCTGCAGGGCAAAGGTTTGCTGTTCCCTGCGCCAGTTCCAGTTTCCAGTTTGCACTGTTACAATTCTGCTTTATTGAAGGGGCCGCAGGGCACACAAATAAATACACACAAATCAAATAATTCCCGATATTTTCCCATATTTTTGGGGTTTTTGTCTTCCCCCCCCACTTCCCATATTTTCCCATATTTTCGGGGGAATCGACGATTAATTGTGTCTGTGTGTTTTTTTCCTTTCTGATTTATGCTGCTTACTGTTCCTTGCTGTACACCGCGCGAGGGGAGGGAGCCGAAAAGCGCCCTGGTTAGCACCTCCTGGGAGGGGTATCAAAATTTTCTGGGGGGGCGAGATTGACACCCCTCACACAGAGCGGCGGGGTCAGGGTCCGAAAACACATGGGATTTGCTACATTTTTGAAATTCGGCGGCGCCCCTCACGCAGATCGGCGGGGTCAGAGTGCAAAAACCCATGGGGTTTGCCACATTTCTGAAATCCGGTGGCACCCCTCACGCAGATCGGCGGGGTCAGAGTCCAAAAACCAATGGGATTAGACACACTTCAAAAATTCAGTGGCACTCCTCATGCAGATCGACCGGGTCAGGGTCCAAAAACCACTTGGATCTGCCACATTTCACAATTCGGTGACACCGCCAACGCAAATCGCCGGCGTCAGGGTCGAAAAACCCATGGGATTTGCAATATTTCTCAAATTTGGCGGCGCCCCTCACACAGATCGGCGGGGTCAGGGTCAAAAAACCAATTGGATTTGCCACACTTCTGAAATCCGGCGGCACCCCTCACGCTGATCGGCGGGGTCAGAGTCCAAAAACTTATGGGATTTGCCACATTTCTGAAATCCGGTGGCACTCCTCATGCAGATCGGCAGGGTCAGGGTCGAAAAAAAATGGGATTGGCGACATGTCTTGAAATTCGGTGGCACCCCTCACGCAGATCGGCGGGGTCAGTGTGCAAAAACACAGCCCAGCACAGCATACTTCGTAGAAAAGCTTTTTACACAGCATACGCAAGCAAGCTCAAAATACAACACCGAATTCAACGATATCACCAGAATCTCAATTTGTCTTGCAGATTACTCATCGTCTTCGCGTGAAGTCCCGACTCTGCTTCACGGCGGCGCCAAGGCCTCACGATTTCGCTCTTGCATTGCCCATTATCCGAGAGAGGGGGCCGGCGGCAGGGGGCGAAGCCCTTACGGATACAAGGAACCCGAACCCGTTGGGAGTGGGCCCACGTTGGGAGGGCCAGAAACATTAGGGAGGAGGAGGAGGCAGAGCAGGAGGAGGAAGTGGAGGAGGAGGAGGAAGAAGGAAGGAGGAAGACGAGGAGGAGGACTAGGAGGAGGAACGGGAAGAGGATCGAACAATAAAGAACCCCTCTCTCTTTGGGAGGGGACCCAAGGTGGGAGGGCCGGAAACATTAGGGATAGGGTGTCTTTTTCTACAGATGTACCAGGCCACATAACCCATGTGTACTATCCCTCATGTGGGGACGGGGGCCCCAATGAGGCCACGTCTTCATCGTGTCATCCGGGTCAGGGGTCCTTGTGTTACCAATGAGACTGTCCACGTCTTGGAGCCAAGCGAGGGGGTCGTCACTCGGGGATCTACTGACCCGAGTCAGTGCAGCCCTGGGTCAGTCAGGCTTCGCAAGATGCTGGGAGATCCTGCGCCCCGGTCCGGGTCAGAGCGGCCCTGGCCCTGCGGGATCCTGCAAGATCCAGCGCTGGGGCTGACCCCGCCGCTTGAATCGACCCCTGTCTCTTGAGCTCCGAGTCGCGCAAGGAGCAGGTCGGGCGTGACCCTAGAGGCGGAGTCGGGAGGAAACATACAGCATACTCCAAACATGTTCACGTATAGTCCAAACCAATGATAGAAACATCGTCGCCTGACTATGTTTGACTATGTTTGAATAAAGTCGGGGCGTTGACTTAAGGAACCCTAAACCCTAAATAAGGAACGAGGCCCCTTGTCTTCAATCAGTGAAGCTTCGATGTCCCATAGAAAGCCAAAGGACACCCAAGGCAAACTGCGAAACGAGTAAGGAACACAGAGCCCCGAGCCAACGCAGAGGGTTCCTTCTTCAGCGCCCCGACTGTACTCTCCTCCTGTAGAGGGACCCCTTGGCCGGGGGTCGGTCAGGCCAGGCCGCCCCCGATTCGGAGCAGGCAGGGCGCGTCGAGAACTCTCGGCGGTCAGCCTTGGGGGGGAAGTGGGAGGGCGGTCCTTCTCTCAGAGGAGGAGGAGGAGGGTTCCTTCTTCAGCGCCCCGACGGTACTCTCGCCCTGTAGAGGGACCCGTTGGCCGGGGGTCGGTCAGACCAGGCCGCCCCCGCTTCGGAGGGGGGGGGAAGTGGGAGAGGGCGGTCCTTCCCTCGGAGGAGGAGGGGGGGGAGGAGGAGGGGGAGGAGGAGGGGGGAGGGGGGAGGAGGGGGGAGGAGGAGGAGGAGGAGGGAGAGGGGAGGAGGAGGAGGAGGGGAGGGGGGAGGAGGAGGGGGAAGGGAGAGGAGGAGGGGGAGAGGAGGAGGAGGAGGAGGAGAGAGACCTGTCCGAAAGAGGCCGGAGCTTATGGGGAGCCCCCCCTGCCGTCTGAGAGCCCCCCTTCCGAACCGCGACAGCCCCGAAGGCCCGTCCTCTCCTCCTCCCTCCTCCTCCTCCTCCTCCTCCTCCTCCTCCTCCTCCTCCCCTCCTCCTCCTGGCTGATGCCCCCCCCCAC